ATATATATGTCGTGTAAATACATCTATTGAATATTTTAATACACATCATCAGTGATGTTGTTTCTAGCCGTGGTTCATTAGAGTTTTCGGGTCTTTCAACATCATACCCCTTCTCCACATTGACCCAGCCGATACTGATCGGGTATCGACTTGTGTACCTTCAGTCAACTACAATTTTTTCATCTTCCGAAGTGCACACCATACGACTCTTCTTGGCAATTTATTGCCTAATTCTGGATGACTTCCGGTTCACCAGCAGTGTACGCTCTTCCATAAAAAAGGAAGGAAACACAGCAACAATTTCTATCTGATCAGGAATATGGCAGCGTGCTTGGCTTGAAGTGGTAAGTACAGATTTGATTCGCTACCCCACGAGATATATATATATATATATATATATATATATATATATATATATATATATATATATATATATATATATAATAAGCAAGTGTAAATGGATACAAATCCGACAGAATGAAGAAAATTTCTTCATATATATATATATGTATATATATATACAAACACACACACACACACACAGAGAAACGCACTCAAATATCACATTCTGCTGACACTTATCCCCATTTTCACTCATGTTAATCATCTAGCGAAGGAAAAGGACCTTCCACATATATGAGTTACACGTACGCACACACATATCATTGCCGCCACACACACACACACACACACACACACATACACAAAACAACAAACTAAATACTGTAACCATGGTAGGTGGCATATATATATATATATATATATATATATATATATATATATATATATATATATAGACAAGTTTTATCTATTTATTTTAAGTAAGTTACTTACTGAAAATAAACAAACAAAACTTGTCTATATTATTTAATGATACATACATTAACGAAAAATTTCTGCCTAAATATGCAAAATATATATGTGTGTGTGTGTGTGTGTATACTACTAATAATCGTATAAAGCAGCTATACCCGTCCGGCAAAACCTTAGGTGTTTTAGCTTGTAAATGAACAAATCAATACCCATGGAAAAAAAGGGTAAAAAAAGAAAGAACTAAGAACATGTACTACCGGCGAATATATATATATGTATGATAATAATAATAATAATAATAATAATAATAATAATAATAATAATAATGGACTCTCCCGTCGGTTTCGACGTATGAGGATCTGACAACTTATTGATTCAGTTATAAAATATTTATGCGATAATCTTAAGTGGCATTTAAGACCCGCTAGTGATTTACAAAGGAGGCCACATATGGAGCAAGTGTGAGGATTGTGAAATGAGATCACTCTTAGATTGGGTGACCTTTTAGATCTTGCTCTCGCTTCTTGAAGATGATTCAGACAAGCAGATTGAAAATTGCTGTGTCCACTAAAACACGTTGATCGCCATTCTACCGGCTCCAAAGCTAAGCGCTCAAGGGTGTTATGTGGTATATTGACTGCAGCTTGTCTTTGTATCTTAGCCATGGGCGTCCTACTTTCCTTATATATATATATATATATATATATATATATATATATATATACAAGCGAAAACGTTTGGGGCCAATTTCTTTAAAAATCATCTTGATATAAACTGTGGTTCAGGACGTCATAAGATCAGCGACACACACCATTCCTACTATCAACCTGAAGCAGCTGGAATTAATACTAATCGGATTACACTATGCACTTTTCATTCTCCAGGATCCAACTAGCGAAGTCACGAGCTTAGATTAGGCGCTGTGTCTGGTTTTGTAGTGTATAACAGGAACACCCTAGTGGCTCTTCTGTCTTCATGTTCCAGGGACACATCTGAACACATAATTAAGAATTCACAGTCGGCCACAGCACTGTCCATGCTTGGTAGTATTGCCTACCATAACTTATTTCTGGTACAGGCGTAACACTAAATTGATGGATGTACTAATGTCTTTACAGCTTTGGAAATGGACCTCCCCATCTATTCATCACCATAGCCTGGTGGAAGACTGATAATCCACGTTGGCTTACTGGTGTTTTTCCTATTTAAAATATATGATAGCGCATCTTTATAGGTCTGGTAATTTCCATGATATCAAGCTATCAAAGGGTCACCAACAATTATCATTGCATACTGCCAGCCCGTCATTTTTGATCTATCAGTGTAATTTTGCTTTGTGCATCTTCGTAGTGCCGAGGATATACATCTTTATTGACCATTTGCTTTTGAGGTTGTTGAAATCTCACCTTATTTAGAATTTCGGCTCAAAAAAGAGAATGAGTGTTTTTCTTATTTCAGTTCGACAAGACTCTAGTGATATCTGACTTTCACAGATCTCTTTAGGCAGATATCACCCTATCACCGACCGGTTCAGGCCTCACTGGTAAACACTCGACTTCCCGAATTGTCGGATGTTGTATCTCTTTCATTCTTTTCTTTTATGCGCACTCAGCTTCAAAACACGGCTTCACTTCAATTTACTTATAGTAGATGTAATTTATATTTAATTCATTCATGCAGTAAAATGAAAATACTTCCGGAAAGAAGTAAGATGAATGTAAAAGACAAAAGAGAACCAGGCATTTTAGAAAGAACGAGACTAATTTTATATAAGGTAACGCTCACAAAGAAAACAGGTACATTATCAGTTTCTATGGTGGTTGAGATCTCACTTCTGACAGAAAATATCTTTATTAAAAGTGAATGAAGGCAAATGGAGTGTTCAGTGATCTTTTGGATTCCATCGAAATAAAATAGATTTTTTTACGTCTACAGCACTTATTGAAAATTAATTATTAGTGTCTATTTATTTGTGCGTAAAAAGCTTCATAGAAGAAAAATAGTGTAACAGGAGTAGAGCAACCGTTAACCGTGAGCGATTATAAGAATGTTAGAACTTGTACATGTCGGAGTCAAAAGGAATATACTGGCCAAACATTCGGAGAAAAAGAGTGTACTGAGTTCCAGATGATGTATCTGCTTCGAAAGACATTTTTTCTGCTGAATATATCAGCCTATATTTTGCGTTTTTATGTAACCTGACGGACTCAATTAGGTACTGAAATTGAGGAAGTTGGGCGTGTTTTCATTGCTAACAAATGTATTTTCTTAAGTGCTATGCTCACTCATATGTCAACGAGACTTGTAGTCAATTTAGTGAAGGATCAAAACAATAAAGAAAAAAGAGACAGACAGACAGACATAGACAGGCATAGCGAACATAGAGTTTAGATTTAAATTTGGGAGTTGGTATCTGACTGGATAAAAAATCGTTTCTATGTACGATATCCATTTAGAACGTTGACAATAATTTTCCTTCCTAATTTCCTGTCCTTTGTAGCTCTTAATTAATTTTGTCTCTTTCTTATCTCTCCTAAAACTTTCTCTGCCATCCATTTATTCAATCTCTCTAGATAAGTTATACGTTGTTTTCCTTTGTCCCTCTTGCCTTCTGTCCCGTGAGTATCAAATTTTCCAAGCCTGTTTTCCTCATTATGTGCCCTAGAAATTTCAACTACCTCTTCATGATGTTAATTATAAGTGTACTTTCTGTTTCTATTTTCTCTAAAACTGCGCTGTTTCTCATATGTTCGGTCCAAGGTATCCTCAGCAGCCTTCTGTAGAACCGTATTGCTATTACTTCTTCTCTCTCCGTTATCAGTATGGAGATTTTTAGCATTCCCTGTCATATAGGAGGAATGATATTACATAATATTCACTACTTGTCTTTGTTTCGTACGACATTTTCCTATTTCTTAATATTTTGTTTAGTTTTTGTAAAACGTCTTTCGCTATTTCAATGCACCTTCGGATTTCAGTGTCAAACCTTCCGTCCATTGTTAAAACACTTCCCAGATATGTAAATTGTTGTACTTGATTGATTTTGATATGTAGTGTCCTCAATAACACATGGCACAGTGGATAAAGGCGTTAGTTAGATCCAGTAACAGGATCCAAAGAGTGTGAGTTCAGTACCCTGTTAAGGCAGTGTAGAACTCTCAGAGGGAAATTAACAGGAGATAACTGATAACTGACATCCATTAAACATGGCACGTGGAACTAGAACAGTCTACCCCAGTGAGCGAAGTAAAGGGTTCAGTTCGACATTCCAACCACCCGAAAAAGGCCGTGCGTACAACGGCCGAAAATTTGTAATAAATATGGCAACAAAGATGAGGACAATAGTCCGAATAATGTAAATAATTTCCAATTTGTAATTTGCATGTTGAGCTCTTCCTTTCTCTAACAACCATGCATTCCATCTTCTTGCAATTAATGCTAATATTTTATTCTTTATTTCCTTGACTTCATTTTGTAGGAGTTTTTATACTTCCCTGTCCGTGTCTGTTATCAACATTGTATCATCTGCATATCTTATACTGTCAAGATTGTAGCCACCATTAATGAATCCTGGTAGAACTTCTAATTCTCTCAGAATTGCCTCACTGTATAGGTTGAATAAGTCCGGTGAGAGGACGCATCCTTGTCTTACAGTCCTTTCTATTTTTATTTTTTTTTTTTATATCTGCTGAACTCATTCTCTATCCGCATGCAAACTGTTTGCTGCCAGTATAGGTTCTGGATTATTCTGATGTCCTTCCCAAATAGGTCACACGAACGCTTGAATCTTTTTAGCGCTATTTTTAGAAGTGGTGACATTGGAGATACGAGGCTCGTGACAGAATCACGTGCTTTTGACTATATTAGTCAACATCTAACACTGACGTGAACTTTATAATGTCAAACTATGATGACGGATAAATTAAAAATGGATAGATATGAAATGCTATAGCAAGAAGCAATAAAAAAACATTCTACCTACTAGCATCCACACCCATGCACACAAAACATTCCATTCTTTTTAAATGGTTAAGATAAGGATCTTTAGCAACAGTGACTAAATCCATGTTTTTCATATTTTGTCATTTCTAAGACGAAGTTTTGATCTTTCAACCGTTAAGAGATATTTTCTTATTTAAAAATATGTTTATAATTGGAATTAATTTTTAATTTCTAACACGCGCGGTTTGCAGCCATAATGCGTCGAAACATCGGTTCTCGTACGATTACCGAAGTTAAGCAACGTGGAGCCTGGTCAGTACCTAGATGGGTAACCGCTTTAGAATACCAGGAACTCTAAGCTAGGATGTGCGGATGGTGTAATGGATAACAGCTCCGAATAGAAAATGAGCGAGGCGAGTTCTAATTCCAGTTGTGTTCGTTATATATATAATGTATAGGTGAATTGTCGCCATTTTATCATTTTAATTTCGCGCATGCGCGTTTGCTCATTTTTGATTTTGTCGACTGAAAAATAAAGTAGGGTCAGTCGGGCTTCGTCTGTGAAAAAAAAAAAAAAGAAAAAAGAACACCATGACGCAATTCACTCCACCAGAAATTTCGGAACGGCATGCTATACTGCTTGGCGTTTGCGTCGGAAGATCTAATACGAACATTTCAGAGTGTTTGGGTGTGAATCTGAGACATCGAGACCTACAGCAAGTGCCTTGAGGAGGTAGTGCTGACCTGGATCAAAAGGGTGACTTCTGGAGGGACCTATGTCTGGCAACAAGGCTCTACACCTTGTGACACAATTATGGCTGTCATACAATTTCTGCGACCATCTTACATCTGGCTACCTCATTCTCCAAACTGCAATGTCTTTGATTATTATGTGTGGGGAGCAGTTGAGCGAGAGATCAACAAAATTTCTTGTAACATCAGGGATGAACTGAAGACAAGGATTATGGCAGCATTCAACACCTTAAACAATTAGACATAGCAGAAGAGTTGCACGAGATTTCAAAGTCGTCTGAAGGCCGTTGTCGAAGCCAATGGCGATTTTATTGAATAAATTTACTTGTTTATATTTTTGGGTAATTCTAGTCAATATAACTGTTAATATAAAATGTCAATGTTATTTTCTTTTTTTTTTCCCGTAATTCGGACGACAATTTATCCATCGCACCCTGTATATAGATATAAGAATGCATTAAGATTATGAAGCAGTAACTGCCAGGATGTCACTTGAAACCTGATGACTCAAAAGGTGAAAGTTTACAAACCAACAATTTGCCTTAATGTTTTTCTTAAAACAATCTTAAATTGCTTTGTTTACTTTTGGGGGTGTGCGGGTAGTGTAATGATAATGGTTCCGAATTGTAAATCGAAGAGTCGAGTTTCAATTCCAGTTGGTTTCGTTAGAATTATTTATATGCAAATACTGTCCGGAAATGTATGAATCCACCTCTTCTCTTTCCCCAGCTATGGGTTAATTAGCAGGACTTGTATCAGCAAATTACAATTATCTGCAAAAAATTGTTACAATCTAAAAATATTTTCTTTAAATAACATGGAAACGGTTGATAGGCCGTAAAAGATCAGACAATCAAATACGCGTGTACCGCAAAAAATGTCTTTCTATCAAATCGAAGCGGGGGGGGGATGCAGAATTAATTTCAACTCGGAACTAATTTCAACTCGGAACTAATTTCAACTCAGAACTAATTTCAACTCAGAACTAAGGACTAGGTTTAGGGTTAGAGTTTTTTTTTTTAATCGAGTTGAAATTAGTTCCGAGGTGAAATTAGTTCCAAGTTGAAATTAGTTCTGTCACTCATTTCGAGAAGTCTTTGGGAAAATTGCAACGAAGATTTACGCCGAGATATCTCGTCCACAGTTAAAAAGAAAGAAGTCAAATTACTTTCTTTTTTTGAAGAGCTTAGTAATGAGATTTAACGCTGCTGTTGATTGTATACGAAAAAAGAAAGAAAGAAAATTCCCACCAAAAAGTTGAAAACAAAGATAAATATGAGCGACCAGTATCTTTATTTTTAGACTGAAGAATTCCCATGGACGAGAATACTTGGCAAAATCCCCATCGACCAGGAAAATTCTAGCGAGAATATACAGTATATTTCGTAAAGGAGTTAAGCAAATATCTTAATACAAATGTCGGCTGTTGTTGAAATCGATGTTTCTTTGTTGCCATTTTGGGAGCGGTTTTATCTTCTTCAAGAGAGTGATACGAATTGAATAAATCTCGTCTTCATTTATATGCCCTGTATCTTCAGGACATGTACGGCCATGGCTTTCTACAATTTTCTCTACATTGTAGCTCAGTAAAATTTGCCTGTATGATATCTCTCCTAATCCTTGTTCTTTTAACCGTCTTCCTAAGTTAGTTTGTTATGTTACGCGCTACATTCATTTGCCCCTCTTGCCTTCATTTTGTCCTGTGAGTATCAAATTTCCTAAGCTCTCTTTCCTCATCCATGTGGAATTTCAACTGTCTCTTTCTGATTCTAAGTATATGTGGTCATTTTTTTTTAAACTTCATCGTTGCTCACCTGTTCAGTCCATGTTTGGTTTGGTTTATCAACACCCAAATGGGTTATTTAATGCCGACAAGATTTTTTTTGCTGCTAATATTTTTTTTTTTTAAATGTAAGGTGTTAATATATTTTTCTTCAAAAATGTTTTGCTGGCAATAACGTATTGCTGCTAATATATTTTTTTCAAAAATGTATTGCTGGTATTAAAACCTATTTTTACACTTTCATAATGTTTTCACACCATTTTGGGGTTTAACTATTTGCTCATAACTGGGACCCTAACAGGTGATACCACCCCGGGTCAGAATGAATCTGGAAACATCAGCATTTAAGAGGTAGTTTCACACCCTCAACAACTTCTGATCAAAGACTTTGCTGCCAGATGTAGTTTATCGTCAAACCCAGGACCCCTCAATGGGAGTAGGGAGGCTTACCCGTCTACAGAGGTACAATTGGCGTATTCTGGAGCGTTAGACGGCAGGGTAATCATTTCATAATATTCTCAGTATCCTTCTGTAGGGACACTTTCTTGTAGCCTTAAGTTTCTTCTCTTTTTGTGATGAGATTGTCCAGCATTCACTGCTATATAGGAGGGCCAATATTAGAATTTCCAAACCTGGTTTGGTTAATCTATCACGTTTTCTGTCTTTTACGAGATCGGCGTTTACCCATGCAGCAGGTCCCCCTCTTCATGCCAACGATGTTGTCAAATGGAAAGGCGGAAACCAATACTGTTTTACACCGATGGTTTTATATTATACATGTTTAGGTATGTTTCTGAACATAAATAATTGGCTATGTTCATTGCCTTGCCTCTTAGCCAACCATCGTGCCCTTATAGCATTAACATAATGTGTCAATTTTAAGGCCTGCTATGATGTGGATTCCATAATAATGGTTAACTCAACAGTTTCTACACAGTAAATATTTGTTATTTATTGAGCGAATAGTTAGTATTACTGTAGATTAAAATTTATAAATTCAGTCTTCTCAAGTCTACTAGAAAATCAAAGTTTTTTTCTAGGATTGATGGGAGTTCCTTTCCAGTCGTTTTGGTCTTGATACTGTGGAAATTTAAATGTACGAGTTAAATTTTAATTGTTGCTTTTCAGTGTTCAACTAATGTCGTTTTTGTTTGTGATTTCGTAGACCCAGTCTAGTGTTCGATAGGCAAGCTAGTTTTTCTAAAAAAAAAAATGTGAACAGCTTTTTAGATTTGAGAAATTGTGAAGAGACGATTAACGCAAAGAAAAAAATGGAAACTTCTGATAAATGGAACAGGATTTAGGAGAAATAACGAAAAGAAAAAAATATTTAGAGCTACAAAGAACAGGAAAGTGTGGAGAGTCATAAACAAGAATGAAATAAAATTCAAGAATTAACTTGCTGTCGCTGCTCCTTATAATTCAGTCATCTATAAGAAGGGGGTGAGCAAAAAGGGGGCTGCAAGGAGAAGCAATATCAAGAGTACCGACTCCTTCTCTTCCTCCTTCTTTTCTGTTGAATATAACCTGGAAACACTTCTCCTCACGTATTCAGTTAAGACTCTCCATGTTTTCCTTATATTTGAGAGAGAACGCGAAGAATGAACAGCTAACAATAATTTGGAATATCGCCATTCTGGTCCAATGTTGATCCTGATATTCCAAATGGAATAATCTCTTTTGATTTTGCAGATATTTTTTTACTTAGAGCATGTGCAGCAGTATACCTCATACAAGAAATGTCTATCATTTAACGTATTGCTTGAAGATAAACTACATCCATCAGCAAAGCCTTTAATCAGGAGATTGAAGGTTTTGAGAGGCATGGAACCATCTCTTCATTACTGTTTTTTTAGATCCCTCCTGAACCGGAGTGATAGCGCCAGTTAGGGTCCCAGCTATGGGCAAACAACGAACCCTCAGACAGAAAACTATGAAAGCATAAAAATGCATCTAATAGTAATAATACCATCAATGTATTATATATATATATATATATATATATATATATATATATATATATATATAATTAACGACAATACATATTCATAGTAGAATTACCTATAATAGATTTCTATAGTAAAATGACCAACAATTCATTTTATCTGTAGTTGAAGGCACGTAATTGCGTTCAAAATATATTTAGTTGAAGCCATATAATTGTGTTCAAAATATTTAGATTTCGGCATTAAAAACCCATAGAGATGTTGATATGCCGCTAAACAAAATCAACCAACCAACAATACATATTTATAGTAAAATGACCAACAATACATTTTATCTGTAGTTGAAGGCACATAATTACATTCAAAATATATTTAGTTCAAGCGATAAAATTATGTTCCAAATATTTAGATTTTGGTATTAAATCCGAGGCTGATATGACGTTAAACAAAATCAACCAACCAACAAACCAACCAACCAACCTGAAAGAATTCTTTCATGACATTAATCCATATAATATTGTACAATTTCTTAAAGAAATCAGATTGTATTCCAAAATATACCTTCAACAAGACTACAACATAAAACATCACCAACTCTAGTCATTATGTCCACATAAACATATACATATGCACAAAAGCTGAATATCATCTACCATGTATTCAATTGTGAAAGCAGAATAACATATATAATATGTATATTATTTCAAAGCTCCAAATGTCGGCATTAAATGACCCATAAGGTGTTGATGCGCCGTTAAATAAAAAAAAAAACAATCAATAATGTAACGGATAGTCTTCCGTATACTTACACTAGTATGATCAAACACGAAGACAGAATTGGTTCACTCAAGAAGACAGAATTGGTTCACTC